GGTATGTGTGGGGGGGGGGGCGGCGGGAGGGGACCAGGGCCCTGGGTCTGATGCCTTCCGATCTGCCCCAGGCCCTGGGCTGCAGACTTAGTTTCCCCATCTGGGTCTGAGAGGACAAGTGCATTTGCAGTCGTCTTTTCCCAGGCACTTGTGTGCCAACACATGTACAGGATCATAGCTACTCTCACCCCCTTTCATGTCTTAACAACTCTAGTCTTTTTATGGCTTAGGTTCTCCTTTATTTTTATTTATTTATTTATTTTCAAAAGGTGACCGGTAAGGGGATCTTAACCCTTGACTTGGTGTTGTCAGCACCACGCTCTCCCAAGTGAGCCACGGGCCGGCCTTTAGTTCTCCTTTAACACACAAACTCACTTGGTCCAGATGAGTTTCTCCCACCTTTCTTCTCAAGATGAGCCAGTATAAAATCTGGTTTCCACCATCTTCTAGGACTGTACTGCTTGGCTAGCTCCCTGTACACCAGGGGCCAGGGGAATCCTGTAGAGGAGGGATTTATGTCTAGCTTTAATAGCAAGTGTGAGGGAGTTTCTTGGCCCTTTTCTAGTATTAGAAGAGCCTAATGTCTCAGAATAGTAATCCTTAAGTGGTGTCCCTCCTTGACCANAGTATTAGAAGAGCCTAATGTCTCAGAATAGTAATCCTTAAGTGGTGTCCCTCCTTGACCAGTATTCCTCTTATAGGAGCTGGCTGACCTGATTCTGCTTTGTTCATGCTGTGGTCGAAGTCCTGAACCCTCAGAAAGGGAGGAAAATGAGCCTGGGGCTGGGGCAGTGAACTGGCCTTAAGAGGAGGGGTCACCTGAGCAGCACACCAGGTGGAAGTGTTGCCACATGCCGATCGCTCCATCAGCGGAGAGCAAGTCCAGGCCAGCTTGCCATTAGCCACCTTGAGAAGGGCAGAGGCTCCTGGGCCTGAGAGTGGGGGGCGAACATGCTTGAGAGTAGGGCATCCCCCCCAAAACCCTTGCCTCTCCTTACCTTTCCTCCCTGTCCACAGACAGCACTTCCCCTTTTTCCGGACGGCTCCGGAGGGCTGGAAGAATACTGTCCGTCACAATCTCTGTTTCCGAGACAGCTTTGAGAAAGTGCCGGTGGGCGCACAGGGTGGGGCCGGCACACGGCCTCGATCCTGCCTCTGGAAGCTGACTGAGGAGGGACACCGCCGCTTTGCAGAGGAGGCCCGTGCCTGGGCTTCCACTCGGCTGGAGAGTATCCAGCAGTGCATGAGCCAGCCAGGTGTGAGGCCTTGTCATGCGTGGGCCCAGAGCAGGGGACCTGAGGACTCTGACACAAGGCTGAGTGTACAAGCCTGGGTTGCACCATTGTGGGGAGGGGGAGGACATCTGTAGGAAACAGGAAGAATAGCAGTGTCTGAGACCCTCTGGTGATGCCTGTGTGAGGTGAGACCTTCCCCATGGTGTGGGACTTGATGTTCAAGGAATTGATGGGGAAACAGGAATTGGCCCTACTCAAAGCCCAGCAGCGTAGGACAATGTTGACCACCCAGTGTAAGCAGCACAGTAATAGAGGTTATGAGCAAAGGGGACCTTCTCTTTTCCTGGAGCAGTTCAGGAAGGCCTCAGAGAAGAGGTGGCATTGGAGTCTTGAGTGAGGAAAAGTAGATGGCCTGCTATGAGAGAGCATTCTAGGCTTAGGGAACAGGAGCTACAAAGCACAAAATCCTGGGCCGGCCCGGTGGCGCACTGGAGAGTGCGCCGCTTGGGAGCGCGGCGGCGCTCC